TAACAAGGCAGCGGAATAAGAACGAATTAGGACAAAGCTACGGATATAACGCGAAGATACCTCCACCAAAGCTCTGATACCAACTGATACGTTCCTCGATCAACACGTTCGAGACACGTAGCACGTTTGCCCAAGGATCTAGCGAGGTTGTCCAACGCTTGGTTTGCGGAACCTAGAGTCAAACGGACAACACGATTTGACGTAGGTGGTAGACGACACTCCGATGAAGGTGAATACTCCAGGGGAATAGGTCGGTAGAACAATCAAGGACGATCACGAGATTGCTCAAGAACCCTTGCCAATGCAAGTAACGGAATTGTACTCTCCATCTAAGAGAAACAAGAACAAGTTTATTATCATAAAACGACTTTTCTTAAACCTTACAAAGCAAGCCTATTTATAGGCTAAAGTGACTAAAACCCTAAGGCTAGGAAAAGGAAAAAGTCGGCCCATGTTTTTGGAACAAGATGGGCCGGCCCATGCTCTTACTTAATCATTAACTAATTGATAACTAATTGATGGGGCCTAAGGCCTTATTCTCTTGGTGGCCCGCTTGACTCCTCGTGGACTTGGATCATGGTGTAAATGACTCGATTGTCTCTCTCCAAGCCCTCAATATCTTAGTGAACTCCTTGTTGGTCTTGAACGTTCCTTGAATTGCTTAGCCCGTGCACATGTGATCGGGCCCAATGGTACTTGAACTGGGTCATTGGTGGGCCAAGGTCCGTGCACACATCATATATAGTACTCTTTTGAATTTTCTGGCTTTGATTGTTTTAAGTTTTGAGTCCTGGCGCGAGCTAGGCAGGCGGCCCGCCGATACCCTTGGGTTCGCCCTTGGGAGAAGTGGGGTCGTCACACACTAATCCAAATCCTAGCACAACTAGGTCAAAAATGCAGAATACCAAGCCAGAACCGTAATTGCAGGTTTACAAATCACACTATACAGTAATCAGTACAACTCAGTCTATACAGGTCCAAATGCTGAAATTCCAAAGGCATATGATAGCTAGGACATCAAGCTACATTTCATCAGAAGACACCAACAACAAAATCCAAACCAATCCCAGCCAAAACAACCCATTCAGACGCAGTTCGCGCATTCTGATCACCCAAACAGCAACAGTAAAATCGACATATCTCACTCTACACTACTCCAAATGACCTGAAATTTTACAGGCACCTCAAACACATCAATACCTACAACTTTCATGTTTTAAGCAAAGGCCAATTCGGCCTCTAACCATATGATCCAAAACCGACAGAAAAGGGGTTATGAAACCCTAACTTTTCATTTCAATCCAAACCCAAAATTGGTTGCAATTATCAATAATTCACACCTACTAGAGTCATTACCCCTCATTACCAACCATCATAAATAACCACAACATCATGATCACATTAAACCAGAAAAATCTCCAATAAATTGAAAACTTCACCATTTCATCCAAACAAGAAATAAACCACAAATATCATCACTTTAGCCACCACTAGGCACAAATTAAGCATCATTAGGTATAGGAGGAAGTCAATCACCACTTACCAAGTAAACAAGAGAGAGGAAGTTGTAGAACACCTTAGCTTCTCCAAAAACCTTCACCAAAACACTCACTAGCACCAAAGGGGGATTTTATGGAGTAGAAACTAATTTATGTGGTTGGTTTTGGAAGATTGAGCTAAATGGAAGCTAAAAGTTGAAGAGTTTCTTCTTCTTTGGTTAGAGAGAGCCGGCCATGGAGGAGAAGAAATGGTGAATTTTTAGTGATTTTTGAGATATTTAACTCAATGGTCAAAAGGTCAAAAATGAATAGTGTCAAGAAAGTCCAACCAATGATAAATGACACTTGGCACCTCATTAATGCAATCCTATCTTTTCTTTTTCCTCTCACATCAATCACTTCACATCCTCTACTTATCTCTTAACACCCGATAAATTTCACACAGTATCCGAATTTAACCTATTGGCCGAATTTTTCCGAACTTTTCGCACTAGTGGGTCCCACGTCCATATATATTCTTAATTTTTCAAAAACTCTCCAATACTAGAAAAATCATCTAAAAACTATAATTACTCATAAAATTTACCAGGAGAATTTTCCTAAGCCAGAAAATGCAGAAAATTATGCTTTAAAGGGAAAAACCCTAGGAAAATTATTAGGGATTTACGGGTTCTCACACTCTCTCCCCCTTAAAAGAATTTCGTCCTCGAAATTTCTCACCTTAATTCCCGAAAAGGTTTGGATACTTCTTTCGCATTTCCTCTTCCACTTCCCAGGTAGCTTCCTCTACCCCATGGTTTCTCCATAGCACTTTCACTAGCGGAATCCGCTTGTTTCTGAGCTCTTTGACTTTCCGATCGAGCACTTGGACCGGTTTCTCTTCATAGGCCAGCGATTCGTCTACTTCGATATCCTCCGGTTGTAATACATGGGATGGGTCGGGATGATACTTCTTTAGCATCGAGACGTGGAATACATCGTGGATTCGAGAGAGACTGGATGGCAGTTCCAATCGATACGCGACCGCTCCTACCCTCTGAAGGATCTTGTAGGGTCCGACGTACCGCGGTTGAAGTTTCTTTCCTTTGCCCGCTGTGATACTTCGTAAGGGTGTGATCTTAAGAAATACGTGGTCTCCAACTTCAAACTCCAAGTCTTTTCTTCGATTATCCGCGTAGCTCTTTTGTCGGCTTTGAGCTGTTTGGATTCGTTGCCGTATCAACTTGACCTTCTCTGAGCCTCTTCCATCCATGGAATAGTTGCCGGGTCTAGTGCTTTCTTTTCGCAACTTCATCCCAATAAATCGGCGACCGGCACTTGCGTCCGTATAGGGCTTCGTACGGAGCCATTTGAATCGACGAATGGAAGCTGTTGTTGTACGCAAACTCTACTAAGGTCATGTGCTGACCCCAGTTGCCTCCAAAGTCCAGAATGCAAGTTCGTAGCATGTCCTCAGAGTTTGAATTGTCCGTTCTGACTGGCCATCCGTCTGAGGATGATAGGTCGTGCTCAAATTGAGTTTCGTCCCCAGGGTTTCTTGAAACTTCTGCCAAAACCGAGATACAAACCGTGGATCCCGATCGGAGACGATGCTCACAGGAACACCGTGTAGTCTTACTATCTCGTCCATGTACAGTCGGGCCAACTTGTCCATTGAATACTTCATGTTCACCGGCAAGAAATGGGCCGATTTGGTTAATCGATCCACGATCACCCAAACGGCATCATGTCCTCTTTGCGTCCTCGGTAAACCTGAAACGAAGTCCATTGTGATGTTTTCCCACTTCCATTCGGGTATCTCCAAGGGTTGTAACAGACCCGATGGTTTTTGATGCTCTGCTTTCACCTGTTGGCAAATGAGACATTTCTGCACGTACTGAGCGATTTCCTTCTTCATATTGTCCCACCAATAGGTTCCTTTCAGGTCTTGATACATCTTGCTGCTGCCCGGATGGATTGTATACTTGGACCGATGAGCTTCCTCCAGAATCTCCATTTTCAACGACTCTTCCTTCGGTACCACTATTCGGTTTCGATATTTCAAAATGCCCTCAGGACTCAAATTGAAGTCCGTAGTTTCTCCCTTTTCCACTTTCTCTCTCCATTTCCGTACCATCAAATCTTCGCTTTGTGCCCTTTTATGCGTTCCAGTAGAGCGGAGGTCACCCTAACATTGCCAAATACCACCTTATGGCTCCCAAGACAGGGTCTCCACTCACACACGGATTCTAATAAATCCCACTCCTTAATCATCAACCCTGCTACTTGCACCTTACGACTCAAAGCATCTGCTACCACATTTGCCTTTCCCGGATGGTAATTGATTGTGCAGTCGTAATCTCCAGAATTCCATCCATCGCCGTTGTCTCATGTTCAATTCCTTCTGGGAGAAAAGGTACCTAAGACTTTTGTGATCCGAATACACTTCGAAGGTCACCCCATATAGGTAATGCCTCCACTTTTTCAGTGCAAAGACAACTGCGGCTAGTTCCAGATCGTGAGTCGGGTAGTTCTGCTCGTGAAGCTTCAATTTCCTAGAGGCGAAAGAAATCACATTCCGGTTCTGCATCAAACGCACCCCAACCTTCTCGCGACGCGTCGCATACACCGCAAACCCGTCCACTCCATTTGGCAAAACTAGTACCGGAGCCATGGTCAATCTTCTCTTTAGTTCCTGAAAACTTGTTTCGCATCGGCGTTCCAGATAATCGACCATGCTTCTTCGTCAGGTCAGTTAAAGGTCCTGCTAATTTGGAGAAATCTTTAATGAACCTTCGGTAGTACCCAGCTAGCCCTAGAAAGCTGCGAATTTCCGTGGGATTTTCTGGCCTCTTCCAATTTGTCACGGCCTCTACCTTCGCCGGGTCCACCGAAATGCCTTCGTGGGAGATTACGTGCCCTAGAAATGCTACTTTCTCCAACCAGAACTCGCATTTACTAAACTTGGCATACAGTTGATGTTCCCTTAACGTCTGCAACACCACCCAATACGGATATCACTTGCCAGTTGATTATCAAATTTTGCTAATAGAAATGCGACAAATGACGGAAGCCAGGACTTTGGGTTTTGTAATGAGGTCAGGTGGGGTGTTTTTCCAGAAAGGTTAAGGCTTGAAAGCAAATTCGATGCCAGGGGTAAAATAAACTGAGATTGCTCTATTCTGAAATCATTTCCGATTTTGAACGAAACCGGGGAAAATTTGCCCCAGTTTGATCGGATTTTCACTCTTTGCATTTTCTTCATTGCATTTCCCTCACTTTTGCATTTTTCTTTGAAAACTAAATTTGCCCCAGTGTAAGGGTTCTTTCTTCTCTCTTTTTTTTTCGAAATAAATTTGCCCCAGTGTGGGGTTTGCAATTTTCAAGGGTTATCAAACGAAAATTTTGTCAATTCTGATGGCTCAAAGGGGACAAGTAGGGATAAAATATTTTAAGTGTAAAAGAAGATGGCCTGACTTGCATTTCGCCATTTGCATGAATTTCTGAAGAAAATTTGCATTATCAAATGAAAAACTTTTTGCACATATCTGAGTTGATGGGTTGAGGGAATGCTCGTCCATCCATTTCTGCTAAAATAAGGGCTCCGCCAGGTAATACCTTTTGGACAATGAACGGCCCTTGCCAATTCGGAGCAAATTTGCCTTTAGCTTCATCTTGCATCGACAAAATTCGCTTTAGCACTTTGTCACCTTCTTCAAATGCACGCCGATGGACCTTTTTGTTGTAAGCTCGGGCCACCCGTTTCTGATAGCACTGACCATGACAGATAGCGTTGAATCGCCTTTCATCGATCAACGTCAATTGCTCATGGCGCTGCTTTATCCAGTCAGCCTCCTCCAATTTAGCCTCCATAAGGATTCGCAACGAAGGAATTTCAACTTCGGCTGGTAATACAGCTTCCATTCCATACATCAGTAAATATGGCGTTGCCCCAGTCGATGTCCGGATAGAAGTCCGATACGCCATTAGTGCATAAGGCAACTTGTCATGCCAATCGCGATGCCTTTCAGTCATTTTGCGGATAATCTTCTTCAAATTCTTATTCGCGGCTTCTACAGCTCCGTTCATCTGAGGCCTATAAATGGCGGAGTTGCGGTGTCTGATCTTGAACTGCTCGCATAGTCCATCCACCATGTCATTGTTCAGATTCTTGGCATTGTCAGTGATAAGCGTTTCAGGCACCCCAAATCGACAGATGATGTGATCTCTCAAGAAATTGGCAACTACTTTCTTCGTCACATGTTTAAATGATTCCGCCTCAACCCATTTGGTAAAGTACTCAATCGCCACCAATATAAATCGATGCCCATTTGAAGCGGGAGGATCGATTGTCCCAATCACGTCCATACCCCACATTGAACAGGGCCACGGGGCGGTCATGCTATGCAACTCAGTGGGTGGAGCGCGTATAATGTCACCGTGCATTTGGCATTTTATACATCTCCGGACAAAGTCTATACAATCATGCTCCATAGTAAGCCAGAAGTATCCGGTTCTCATGATTTTCTTCGCTAGCAGATGGCCATTCATGTGAGGTCCACAAACGCCACTATGCACTTCTTTCATCATATATTGAGCTTCATCTTCATCAACGCACCTTAAAAGGTTCAAATCCGGGGTTCTTTTGTACAACACTTCACCATTTAAGAAAAATTTGGAAGCCATTCTACGCAGAAAACTTTTGTCCTTGGTACTAGCATGCTGGGGGTAAGATCCAGTTTTGAGAAATTCCTTAAGATCATTATACCAAGGAACTTTGTCGGAGGACTTGTCTACAACCCAACAGTGAGCAGGTTTATCTTGAAGTTGAATCTGGATCGGTTCAATTTTCAATTCATCTGGATACTGAATCATAGAAGCTAAGGTGGCCAAAGCATCGGCAAATGCATTTCGGGCTCGTGGGAGGTGTCTGAACTCCAATTTTTGAAATTGTTTGGCCAGAGTGAGCAAACTACAATGGTAGGGCAGAATTTTTGAATCTTTGGTTATCCACTGCTTCAAGGTTTGGTGCACGAGTAAATCTGAGTCACTGAAAGCTACCAACTCCTTGATCTCCATTTCCAAAGCCACTTTGAGACCAAAAATGCAAGCTTCATATTCAGCCATGTTGTTGGTACAAGCAAATTGCAACTTGGCAGCGGCAGGGTAGTGTTTTCCTTCGGGCGAAACCAGAACAGCTCCAATTCCAGCTCCTAGAGAATTTGAAGCTCCGTCGAAGAAAAGCCTCCATTCAGGGCACTGCTCACTTATATCGTCCGTGGCGCCTACAAATAAGATCTTTTCATCAGGGAAATAGGTGTGAAGTGGCTGATAATCATCGTCCCTTGGGTTTTCCGCCAGATGATCAGCTATAGCTTGCCCCTTGACGGCCTTCTGTGAAGTGAAAATAATGTCGAACTCTGAGAGGATTATCTGCCACTTAGCTAGACGTCCAGTTAGCATTGGCTTTTCCAAGAGATACTTCAAAGGATCAGATCTGGAAATAAGATAAGTGGTATGGCTCAACAGGTAATGTCTCAGCTTTTGAGCCGCCCAGGCCAACGCACAGCAGCTCTTCTCAATGAACGAATAATTAGCCTCGTACTGCGTGAACTTCTTGCTTAGATAATAAATGGCTTGTTCTTTCCTTCCCGAGTCATCGTGTTGCCCGAGAACGCAACCAACTGCTCCGTCGAGCACAGATAGGTACATGATCAGCGGTCGGCCCGGTTTGGGTGGCACTAGGACCGGAGGCTGCAGCAAATAATCTTTAATCTTGTCGAAAGCTTGTTGGCACTCCTCATTCCAGTACAACGGCACATTCTTTCTTAATAATTTGAACAACGGCTCACATGTGGCCGTTAACTGGGCAATGAATCTCCCAATAAAATTGATCTTCCCTAAAAAGCTTTTCACGTCCTTCTGAGTTTTCGGCACTGGCATCTCTCGAATGGCTTTGATTTTTGCTGGATCTATCTCTATGCCTCTCTTGCTCACGATGAAACCCAACAATTTACCAGCTGGTGCCCCAAAGGCGCATTTCGCAGGATTTAACTTCAAATTGTATTTTCGCAGCCTTTCAAATAGCTTCCTCAAATCATCCAAGTGATCCTCCGTCCTTTTAGACTTGATTATGATGTCATCCACGTAGACCTCCATCTCCCGGTGGATCATATCATGAAATAGGGTTGTCATGGTCCTCTGATACGTTGCTCCAGCATTCTTTAAACCAAAAGGCATGACTCGGTAGCAAAAGGTACCCCAAGGGGTAATGAAAGCAGTTTTCTCCCTATCTTCTTCTGCCATCAAAATTTGGTGGTAGCCAGCAAAACAATCGCAAAAGGATTCAATCTCATGTCCGGCAATATTGTCTAAGAGAATGTGAATATTTGGTAGAGGAAAATCATCTTTAGGACTGGCTTTATTAAGGTCCCTATAGTCAACACAAACTCTCACCTCTCCACTCTTTTTTGGAACAGGGACTGGGTTTGAAAGCCAAATTGGGTAATGGGAAACAATGATAATGTTGGTTTTGAGTTGTTTTTCAATTTGCTCTTTTATTTTGAGGCTCATATCTGGTTTGAATTTTCGGGGTTTTTGCTTTACGGGTGGAAAAGAAGGGTCTGTGGGTAACCTGTGCACTACCACGTCAGTCGAAATACCAGTCATATCATCATAGGACCACGCAAATACATCCTGGAACATAGTCAAGAACTCGAGCATCTCCTTTTTCTGGCTCTTATTCAGATGAATACTAATCTGCACCTCCTTAACTTCATCCTCTTTTCCAATGTTAATCTTTTCTGTTTCTTCCAGGTTCGGTTTCGGTTTTTCCTCATATTGTTCAAGATCCTTTGCAAACGAATCGGATACTTCCTCATTATCACTCTCGCTTTGGAGTTCGGATTCACAAACCTCCAAGTCGTGAGTGATATGGAGATTGCCATTATCGAATTCCAGAATTGTGATATCCAAAGGATCAAATAATTTTATTTTTGGCCATCTGAAAGAATTAACGAATGTGGGACAATAAGCAAATAAATAAACAACAAACAAATAAACAAACAATATGAATATAAACACAACAATGACAAGAACAACTTGTGCACTTTCATAAAAACCTTTGATTGAAAGCAAATTGAAACGAAAACTTAACAATATTTACATGCGCAAATGTTAGTCAAAAAGTAAATTGTTTTCATTGGCTATTTACAAATGCAAAGGTGAATTCACATGAATGATAAACCCCTTTCATTTTACCGAAACTCCTTCCGAACGGGCAGGGACTCGGCTGTCCAATTGGGAATTGATCCTTCAGGGATGTCAGGAAATTCAGCCTCATCTGGAAAACCATCTTCAAATGTTGCCCCTACGAACAATTGGTCCAAACTAGCTTCCATTTCTTCAACTGGATTAACCTTTGATGTGATAACCTCTGTTGGTCGTGGAAAAGTATACCGCAGTGGTGGAATGTCAAAAACCCTTTGCCTGCCCTCCTTCTCTGCTCTTTTGCGCTCTTTCATCTCTTTGATGTCCTTGGCGGTTGGTTGGAAACCCAAACCGAATGTATCCCTTTTTTCCATAATCACCACTGGCTTCAGGATCCCTTGCAGTTCACGCCCCAATCCTCTGTCTAATTTGTATCCTCCACGAATCATTTCCTTAGCCATCATTACACTTGCTTTTGAGAGAGCTTGTTCCTCCGTTGTGATCCAACTTACGGAGACTATATCGGATGTGCTATGAGGGGACATAGTGGCACTTCGACTTCCCTCCTCTTTAGATCCAGAATCGGTGATTACCAGGCAGTCCTCTTCGGCAAAGATAGTGATTAGCTTGTCATTTACTACGAATTTCAGCAATTGATGCAACGAAGATGGCACAGCCCCAGACTTATGAATCCATGGCCTTCCAAGTAAAATATTGTAAATGCTCGGGAAATGCATTACTTGGCAAGTTATTTGAAATTGGGCGGGCCCCATCTCGATTACTAAATCTGCCTCTCCTATCGGCTCCCTTTGAGCTCCATCAAACCCTCGAACGATAGTCCCCGAAGGCCTCAGCTTAATGTCTTGCAATCCTAGTTTCTCTAAGGTACTCCAAGGACAGATATTAAGCGCGGACCCGTTGTCAATTAGCACCTTCGGCAGCATTTTCCCGTTGCACCTCACTGTTATGTACAACGCCCTATTATGTCCAATGCCCTCTGTCGGCAATTCATCGTCAGAAAAAGCAATTTGTTTGTTGAATAATACGCTCCCAACCACGTTTGAAAAATTATCAACAGAAATGTCCTTCGGAATTTGAGCTCTTGTTAATACGTCGATCAATGCATCCCTATGCACGTCCGAAGAGAAAAGTAGGTCCAACATGGTTATCTGGGCAGGTGATTTGCTTAGCTTTTCCACTATGTTGTATTCACTCCTCTGGAGTCGTTTAAGGAAATCCACGGCTTCTTTCTCGGTGATTGTTGGATTGATGGGTAGCTCAGAACTATTGGCTTGAATTGGAGTAGTAGTCTCAAATGGATTTACAGTCTTCCCCGATCTGGTAACTACTGACACTTCCTTCTTTGCGGTTGAATTCTCCCCGATCTGTATGCTAGGCTCATCGTAATTCCACGGCACTTGTTGCAGACTTAATACGGGCTCCTGCTTCGGGAATTCGATGACTACTGGTTTCAAAGCTTCATTCTCCGCTGGCGTGAGATCTAAGACAAAAGGCTTGTTATCTTCTTCGAATGGCAACTCTATGACAAACGGTTGGTCCGTGATACCAAACACTTCAGCTTCTATTGCCAATTTCTTGATTTGTTCCTCGTACTCCGCATCATTCATAATAACCCCAACATGCTCTGGTAAGGGGTTTTGATTTACGTTTGGCCCTTGTGGCTCCCTTTTTCTGATCACGATTTCTCCAGACTCAACCATATCCTGAACTTTATGCTTAAGCGCCTTGCAATCCAAAGTTGCATGTCCGGGGGCCCCAGAATGATAAGCACAGACGGCTTGCGGGTTATACCAGGCGGGCATGCCATATGGATAGGTAGGAGGGGGTACCATACCAATTTTCCCGGCGGCCTTTAACTGTTCATATAATTGGTCTAAAGGCCTACCTAAATTGGTAAATGCACGGCTAGGGGGTCGATTGTAAAGTTCAGAAGGTTGAGGTTGGTTGTAAGCAGGTCTATTTGGAGGCGGAAATCTTGGGTTATATGGAAGGCGTGGTCGGTTTTGGGGTGGATTTGGTTGAGAAATTTGAAAAGGGGTTGAAGGTGGGTTAGGATAGCTTGGGCGAGGTCTAGGGTGCTGGATATTAGTGGCATATACAGGGTACGGGTTTGGATAATAAGGGTAATGGGTTTGGTAGATTGGGCTGTGTTGGTATCGAGGTCTGGGTGAAGGATTTTGGTTCCAAACAAATGTTGTATCCCCCTCCTTCTTTTTGAACGGTGGCTTTTTCACATTGCTTCCTTGACCTTGTAAAGCATCCAACTGAGATTTAAGGGCGGAAACATTGACAATCTTCCCAGCCCTCACAAAGTCATCGAACTCCTCAAGTTTATTTACAATTGCAGCAAACGAACATCCGGTCATACGGAAAATCTCTTCGAAGTACGGCGGATCGTGGGCTTTAATGAATGTGCGAATAATTTCATCCTCAGTCATCGGTGGTTCCACCTTCGCAGCTACTTTTCTCCACCTCTTGGCATAGGTCTTGTGGTCCTCAGAAGGCTTCCTTTTCGTTCCTTCCAGAGTAGTCCGGGTCGGCGCTAGCTCGCAGTTGTACTCATATTGTCGAATGAAGGCATTGGACAGATCGAGCCAGGTCTTCACTTCCTCTGGCTTCAGGTTGGAGTACCAATCGAGAGCATCCCCTTCTAAGCTTTCTGGAAATAGTCGCAACGGCAAATTCTCGTCATCCACTGGCTTGCCCAACTTGTTAGCAAACAAGCGCAAGTGCGTCTTTGGGTTGCCCGTGCCATCATATTTGTTGAACTTCGGAGTCTTGAACCCCTCCGGCAGTTGTACGTTTGGAAATAGGCACAAATCATCGTAGTCCAGCACCCCTTGCTTGCTTAAACCTTGGCTTTTCCGGATAAATTCATCAAAACGATCCAAGCGTTTAAGTAACTTCATATCAATCCGGGCAGACGAATCTCCCATTTCTGGCTTATTTTGAAAAACGTGCTCCGGCACAACGGGCTCTGCGGTAGTCTGAAAGAAAGTCGGTGGAGTTACATGCATGTTTGGATCACCCTGAGGCTGGAATCCTTGCCCATAAGGGGGATAAAAAGGAGGATTTTGAGTATAAGCATATTGCGGATTGAAAGTTCCCTCAAACGTGGTTTGAAATGAAGGAATAACAAATGATTCGGATTGTGGTTGTGTAGCGGGTACAGGTTCAGGTCGCACTCCGCTACTAACGAGCTCGTCAATCAACTTCTTCTGAGCGGCCATTTCTGATGCCATTTCCCCAAATTTAGTGAGTAACTCGGTCAACTGAACCCCAGGACTTGCGGCTTCCGGCTGGGTAGTTGCAACGAACTTTTCGGATGATTCTGGTTGAGTACTCATGTCTACATGATTCCTTTGGGCTCTACTTCGGGATCGCGTAATAATGGGGCTTTTTCGAAAAGCTATTTTGAAACTTTACCTGAGAATGCAAAAGACTTCTTTAGATAAACCAATCGTTATTAGATTTCTGCAATTTATTCAAAAGGGAAAAAGAAAAAGGCATGAGTTAGTAATTATTTAAGCAACTCGGATGCATGTCCTACGGGGGGACCCTTTTTGTGCCAAGGGTAGGCCTAGCATGATGCAACCTTCGGGGTAAAATCCCATTTTCAAACCTGTAAGTGAATATAGAAGCGGAATTTCTCATTAAAATATGGATAAACTCAATCCTTCTTTACAATGTCATTGATGGTTCGACCAACCATTCTTACAAAGTCCTCATGTCTAGCTAGTTTGGTATGTTGGGATTCCCTAGAACTCCCGATACTAAGTTTTCGAATTTCATCTTGAATTTTATCAAATGCACTCAATGCCTTTTCCAATTTCTCTGTCTTCTTTGCCTCTTTCCTCAATTGTGAGCGGGCATCCTCCAATGCTTGATCGGCCACCATGATCTGCAACTGATGATCCTCCAGCTCTTTCCTTAGCTTCCCATTCTGTTCCTCGAGACTAACGGCAATCAACGGTGTCCTTTCTCTCCCTTGTTCTATCATTGATTTGATCCATTCGTTGTACTCCAAGATGACCCTAGGCTCTACTTTGTTCACTTGGTCCAAATGCAGGTTGTCCAAACTACACAGATTCCCCCAGCCTTCTAACACCATAGTCCGGCACTCAGTGACTGTATTAAGCTCGATACTTCCCATTTCTTGTATGGTCGGCACTCTCTGCGGGTACCCGAACTGTCTCATAACTCGTTGTGGAATGTACACAATCAACCCACTGGTACTTGCTAATGGAATGAAGTCAAATTGTGTAGTCTTGAAAGCTGGATCCCTTACTTTCGTCCAATCGAGAACCCACTGTATCTTATCCGAAGTCAGAGCATTGAATTCCTGAATAAACAAGCTTGGAGACGCTATTCGATAGTATCTGCTAACCCTCTCTCGGTGCGACTCGACCCAGTTTGCTGTTGGAAGACAGGACCCCAATGGATTTAGCGCTCTTTTTGACAGATGTTCCATGGCCCACATTTGGAGCACCAGGTTGGATGCATAGAAAAACCCCCTCTTCTTTTGGCATTCAGTAACGGCAGTGAAGATATCAGCAATGATGATAGGCACCAAAGTAGGGGTCTTCTCCTTAATTCCTAGAAACACGCTTTGCATCATGTTGATTGTTGAAAAGGTAACCTTCCCATGCTTTTGCGGGAATAAAAGTAGACTAGTCAAGGCTAGTCCAAAGACTTGGACTCGCTTTCCTTCCCACTCCTCTTTGCTAATGAAGAAGTCGTCATGGTGTTGATCATAAGAGTCCCTTCTCCCAAATCGTTCGTACAAGAACTCCAGTGGACATGATTTTGCGTCCGGGTGCTGGTTCATGCTAGCTCGTCCCAATCCTAGAAACTTGCAAAACTGCTCTCTAGTGCCACTAGTTGGGTACACCATAGGGCTTCCTTTCCCAGGCATTTGCAACAAGCCTTCTATCTCTTCCAGAGTGAGTGTTAACTCGCATTCCCCAAATCGAAAGACGGAGCCTTTAGGATCCCAATACTCAAGCAGTGCTTCAATGATTGCTATGTTTGGGGCTATGTTCAAAAGACTTGGTAGATGCCCTATGTATCGGAACAATCGGTTCACCTCATGCGCCATGTTGTTCTTCCAATCTATCAGCTCACGAGGTATACGGTTTAACATTCGGCATGGAGCCATCTGAGGAAGAATTCACTTTTTAGTACCTTACCTTGGGATTTTACCCCGAAGGCCAAACAAAATTGTAAACATGCAAGTCTCGTTGGATTAAGTATCCGAGACACAAGGCGGTTTATTCCTAACCACGGGATTCCCTATGTGGCATTCCCTTTCTATGGTTTATGCATGATGCCATTTATTAAAACGACGTAAATATGTGACAAATATTATCTAAAGGACATAAATAATGCATCGGGGGGAAAAAGGTCTAAAATGAAATGTACTTATTGAAAATTAAGTGCAATAACTGAAATTTAAACATGTGAGCTATCTAACGGGTGAGTCACTAAAAGAGCGCCAAAAAGGCCTCTTATTGCTAAGGCACATGAATGCAATCCAAGAAAACAAAAGAATGGTTAGTGCAATTAATAGTACACATAACACATTGGGAGTAATTAAGAAAAGAAATACAATAAAGCAGGTAAAAAGGGTGGAACCCCTTCCCTCGTGCCTAATGTGCTGAAAATAGGGTGAGGCCGACTCTACCCTAGGTCATTCTAATATGGATGCATGAGGCTGGGGTTCACTAATGCCTAGACTCGATAAGCTTCGGTTCCCAAGCCTTCAGGGCCTTCGGGCGGTCGAGTGATCCCTTAGGTAGCGCTATGGGCGCAGAGCACACCATCCGCCTACCCAAGGCAATCGGTCCTAGTCCTACAAGGCGGTGTGGGATGGCGCCCACGAAAATAAAAATAAAATGGGATAAAGCAAGTAAACATGCACGTATGAAGTGTTCCCCTATTTTGAGGGAAAGGGTTGAGAACCACGCGAGACTCTAAAGGTGACACACACCCCCCCAAATGCAATGCAAGCGCGAGATAACAAGTAAACATTCATTCAAACATACATTCGTGAGTCGAATGATTAATTTGAGACGCGAGTGATGCAAAATCCTAAAAAAGGAAAAAAATGCAACCCTGAAGCACCCAAATGTAATATATGAAAAGGTTAAAAGAAGGAAAATGTTGATTAAATCAAATTTGCTCGGACTCTCGAATGTCCCCAGTGGAGTCGCCAACTGTCGCGCCCCATTTTTTTTGATAAATAAATAAATGAATTTTTTTAAAAAAAAATGTATTCTTGTGATTGAAAAATGAATTGTGATTGAAAAGAAAAATGGGTCTAAATAGGGGTTTGAGAATGCGACGATTTGACCCAAAATGTGGTTTAAAAAGGGTTTTTTTTTTGAAACAATTGGAGTCGCCACTTGGTAATGAGTTAAGGTGTACCAAGTCACCTAAAAATGAATTTTAAAAAAATAGGAAAAAGTAGTAAGAAAACCCCTTTTAAACGACTCCTAATCCACGTAAACCAAAGAAAAAGGTTCGGGAGTCACATTTGACAAAGGGGAAGGCAAGGATAAAATCCAAGGCACCCCTTTGACCTAGCCAAGGCTAGTTGCGTTGATTTAATCAAAGATTTTCTTATTTTAACCAAAGAATTTATTACATTTGGGTGCCCTACATGAATGCAAACCCTAGACCTAGGGGGATTGGGGGAAATTTCCCTTCAGAGGTTGAGTGGTGCCAATCACATTAATTGTGAAGCCCAATATCGATCCTTTGAAGAAGTCACGAATAATGCAAATGGGATGCAAATGAATGGAATGCATGTGTGCAATATGAAGACATGAGTTTGAAAAAGTAATAAAAGAAAATAAATATGTAAATGAAAATGTGCACGTGAGTGGGCAAGGTATGGTATGTGAAATGATAATATGAAGTGCATGTGTGCAAGTAATGATAAAAGTGCTCGTGTGCAAGTGAAGAAACACAAAGGTGCATGTGTGCAAAATGGGAGGAAAAGTGAAAGTGTAATGATGGAGTGGACTTAGAATGCATGAGCCTAGGGAATTCATGCATATTGGGACGGGGAGACCTAAATCGTGACTCAATTTGCCCTTGTATAGAGAGGATATAAGCGTGCTAAGGCTTTAGAAAAAGCCACACTCGTCTATATCCCATATTTAAGGGGACTCTCAAGCAAATGAACCCTACAACTAGCATGAAATGCAAAAATCCTAAAATGGAGGGAAAAGGGGTTCGAGGGGCATGCAAAATGATAAAACTAACAAGAATGCATGACATGTAATGAACATGCACACATGTACTAACGAGAGGAAATCCCTAAGGGTCTAGCGTTGGACTAGCCCATTCTATGAATTCCGACTAGCATTGGACTAACGGAAACGTACATTCATGTGAGGACTCGTAAAATTTACTTATTTAATCTCCTATTTCTAGCTTATTTAATTATTTATTTGGTCTTTTACTCCAAATATTATTTTCTAAGCTCTTGAGACCTAATTACATGGAAATATAGTTTCATTATATTTTTAAAATGACTTGTTTCAAAAATTAATTTCCGAAAGCCCGATAAGTGAAATAGTGCACGTGCATTTGGAACGATAGCCGATTTGAGGATACACTGAGCTCAGAAAAATTGGAGATACGTGCCTTAGTCTTAAAATAGGAATTTTAATGTTTAAATACTCAAGTGGTAGTTATTAGTACTATCGTTATAAGAATTTCTCGGAAGTTTCGCGTTATTGCGCTTAAATTGGAGATACGCGTTTTCACACGCGCAATTTAAATTGAGGAACTTTAGACCCTTATTTTGGGACAATTAAGAGTGAATAATATTTATATGAATATAAATGCATTAGAAGTTTAGTACACTAGTGAAACAAACGCGAGAGGAATCGAGCACAAAACGCGCGCGTGCGCGCACTTTTTGCGGTTGACTTTTGTGCACCCAATCCTTAGTCATTAAGCTTCCTTTGGAAGCCTCATTTCAGACCACACTCTCTCTCTTGCTCCCTCATTTGGCCGGCTAACAAAGGAGAAAAACAACTCAAATTCCATCCAAATTTCTTCACCAAATCTTCTCCATTTCACTTCAAATTTCAACCACTCTTAGCTAATTACTTGGAGATTACATCAAGCTAAGAAAGAGGGCTGCTATCCACGGTTTTCTTGAGCATCTAAGGGGCCGAAATTCTGTCCTAGTTCATCAAGAGAGGTAATGGACGATCAACTCCTTGAATCTTAGCTTACGGAAGCTCTATTACACGTATAAACTCTTGCATGCATGTGGGTGGTCTTGTTTATGGTGGATTTGTGTTGTGTGGGCTCTATGAACTCCCACTTTTGATGGAAGGACTGATTTGATGTTGGATGATGAAATTAATGGTGGTTTAGTGCTTATATTAGTAGATTAATGTTGTATTGTTGGTAGAAAATCAAAGGAGGTGCTTGGAGCAAAAGTGACCGTTTTACCCCTGCCTTGTCCGACCATTTTCGTGCCAGATTTTGAGATTCTAATGAATTGATTATGTTGTTTATCTATTATTGTAAGTGTGTACAAAATTTCATTGAAAAATAACATGATTTGGTTGGTCAAATGAGTTGATTTCCAAAGTTAGCAAAACTGGAAAATGAATCCCGTATTGCCCAGGCAGTCATTTTGTAACGGCCATAACTCTTTGTTCCGATGTCGAAATCAAGTGCCGTTTGCGGCATTGGAAACTAGACATTCCTAGCTTTCCATCGGTACCAATTTCACATTCTGGTTCCACTTGAGTGAGCCACACCATTCGATTGAATATCACTGTCCTGTTTCGTTGCTCTCCAGGAGACAGGACAGAAATTGCTTCTTGATGCTCAAAAACGAGCTATTTGTGAATGAAATTTGAAAATGGTTTCTTCTGAGAAAATTCAGCTTTAGAAGAGAGCTTTCCAACGCCATCAACCACGCCCAATTCCAAGTTGAATGGAGTGAGTTGTGGCCAAAGTTTGAAACTGCTACAGTGATAGAATTTTCCACTTGGACAGATTTGTAACTAACAATGATTTGGGACTTGTTGTTTTGGAAACTTTGATGTCCGACATCTACCAAACTTTAGATTAGATGTTCCTTGGACTTTGTTTCACAAATAAACCAGATTTGGGTTGGTTGCTTTGGACAAAATGTTTAAAAAGGAAAGAAGAGCTAGAAGACAGTTTTACCTTGGGAAATTTCTTGAACTTTGATGGTTTAGTTAACTACCTTTCCGTGTGAATTTTCAAATGAAATTTGATAGAGAGTAATCCTCATATGGAGGTTTAATTGTACAAAATTTTGGTAATATTCTAAGACCATTTTGATATGCAAATGATGTCACAAAATTCGCTCATCGAATCTGGAAAACTTTTCGTTTTCTCTTAGCCAAATGGTCAAATCTGATTTGGAGAGTTTTATTTCTAGAATTTGGATGTCAATGGTCTTTAAATTTCTCAGTGGATGTTTATGAACTCTTGGTTTCAATAATGGAGAGATTTGAAACTGATTTCATGGTACAAAAAGTTTGTAAACGAAAGAAAAGTGAGAAGGTAGTTTAGCCTTGAAACTCTTCATAAACTTTGGTTGTTTTAATGACTACCTTACCGTGAGAGTTTTTGTACGAAACTTAGTAGAAATGTTGTTCACACATGGAAGATTTAGTGTACCAAGTTTGATGTATTTCTAATGCCAACTTGATGACCAAATGATATTTCAAATCTAGTTTTAAACCTGGAAAATAGCCCAACAGTCTTAACTTTTTCAGCAACTTGGAGGTACTATATCTTGGTGCTCGAAACTCCGTTTCTCGTTCCGCTTGTTTTGTTATACTCTTGGATTGCAACACTAATTGATTTCCAAATTTCAAAGGTTAGTTCAAAACAAGTGAATTTTGCCGAATTTCTAAAGTTGGCCAAAAACCAACTTAAATCTGCCTTGGTAATTCAAGTTACCAACTTTGAGCCAAAATTTGAGTGCCTTTCACTTACATTCGTGGAAAAGTGTCTTCTAAGAACTTTTAGTACTTTGAAAGAGGATTCCAACAGTACCAAGTTTTCCAATTTTGGACTTGTGGAGAGTGA